TAGAACTAAAAAGTTCATTGTGGAAAAGTTCTTGAACTACAAAATGTTAGATTCTAAGACCGTCACTAGTCAAGTGCAAGAATTGCAGATTATCCTACATAATGTTCATGCGGGAAATATATCTCTAAGTGAATCATTTCAAGTGGTTGCAATCATTGAGAAACTCACGCCTATGTGAAGGGACTTCAAGAACTATTTCAAACATAAGCGCAAAAAAATGAACATTGAAGAACTTGTGGTCCGATGTGTTGGAAATAACATACCAAAAGCAAAGGCCAATTTGGTGGAATCCAACAAAAAAAGCAAATAAAGGAAGCATTCTGTTGAGTCTTCAAGAAAGAACACAAAGAAGTTCAATGGCAATTGCTACAATTGTGGAAAACTGGACATCGTTTCGTCAATTGTCGCAAATCGAAGAAGCAAGCCCAAGCAAATATCACTGAATCTGATACCGTATCAAACGGTATATCAGACATGAATTTGTTGGCGATTGTATTCGAATGCAACAATGTTGGAATCCTATGGAATTGTGGGTTGATACAGGTGCTACTTGTCACATATGTGCCGATAAAGGAATGTTTACTTTCTATACTTCAACTGAGGGAAAGAAGTTGTTCATGGGGAACTCCTCAACTTCAAAGGTTGAAGGACAAGGCAAAGTGATATTGAAGATGACACCGGGAAAGAGACTTAGCCTCAACAATGTTCTTCGTGTGCCGGATATTAGCAAGAACTTAGTTTTGGGTTCTTTGTTAAGCAAGAATGACTTTAAATTAGTCTTTGTATCGGATAAATTTATACTTACCAAGAATGACATGTATATAGGCAAATGCTATGTAAAAGATGGACTATTCAAAATGAATGTCCTTACTATTGTACTGAATAACTCGATGAATAAAACGTCTTCTTCCACTTATATTCTTGAGTCATCTAATTTATGGTATCATAAATTAGGATATATAAACTTCAATTCAATACGGGAATTGATGAATGGGAATTTACTTCTAAGCATGCATTTCAATAATGGAAAATGTGAAATATGTGTAGAGGCAAAATTAGCCAAACCAACAGTTCGTTCAACCGAACGAACTACAACACATTTGGAACTTATTCACATGGATATGTGTGACTTAAAGTTTATACAAACGAAATGTGGTAAAAAGTACTTTATCATATTCATAAACAATTGTACAAAATACTGTTATATATACTTGTTGAGAAGTAAAGATGAAGTATTTGAAGTGTTTAAACACTATTAAACTGAGTTGAAAATCAACTTTGAAAACGAATAAAAACGATTCGTAGTTATAGAGCTGGAGAGTATGTTGCACCATTTGAAGAGTTATGTGCAAAACAAAGAATTGTTCACCAAGCTACTGCTCCATATTCACCTCAATCTAACGGGGTTGCGGAACGAAAGAATGGAACCCTTAAGGAAATGATGAATGTCATGTTGATCAGTTTAGGCTTACCTCAAAACTTGTGGAGGGAAGCTATTCTTTCGGCTAATCGTATCCTAAATAAAATACCACACAAGGATAAGGTCGATTCTCCTTATGAGGTACGGAAAGGTCAGAAACCCTCCAACAAGTACCTTAAAGTGTAGGAGTATTTAGTAAAGATACAAATACATAAGCCTAAACAAGTGAGGATTTGACCTAAGACAATTGATTATGTTTTTATTGGATATGCTACTAATAGTAGCACATATCGATTTTTGGTTTATAAATCTAAATTAGTTGATGTACACGAAGGTACAATCATTGAATCAAGGAATTTTTTTTCTTTTAAAATATATTTCCTTGTAGGGAAAAGGAAACAAGTTCACACAAACAAACTTATGATGAAAAAGATTATGGAAATCTTCAAACAAATGAAGAGTCAATGCGTAGTAAGAGACAATGAATTCATAAAGCGTTTGGTCCAGAATTTGTAACTCATTTGTTAGAAAATGATCCTAGGACATTTGATGAAGCGATATTTTTACTCGAAGTGCCTTTATGGAAAGAAGAAGCAGTAAATAGTGAAATTGAATCCATCATAAACAGCCACACTTGGGAGTTAGTTGATCTTCCTTCGGGAAACAAAGCTTTAGGCTGCAAATGGATCTTCTAAAAGAAATTGAAGTCAGATGGATCAATTGATAAATATAAGGCTAGACTAGTAGCCAAAGGGTATAGACAAAAATGTCTAAATTTCTTCGATACCTATTCACATGTGACAAGGACCACGTCTATACGTCTATACGTGTATTGATTGCATAATTAGAAACACATCAAATGGATGTGAAGACTGTATTTCTAAATGGTGAATTAGAAGAGGAAATATACATGGAACAACCAGAAGAGTTTGTTGCTCTGGGAAACGAGAAGAGGGTGTGTAATCTTGTAAAGTCGCTTTTTGGATTAAAGCAAGCACCAAACAATGTCACGAGAAGTTTGATAGAACTATGATGTCAAATGACTTCAAGATCAATGAATGTGACAAATGTGTATATGTTAAAACCATACCTAACGAATATGTAATCGTTTGCCTATATGTTGACAATGTACTAATAATGGGAAATAACTTGACTGTCATTTCCTCAACAAAGAAAATGTTATCGAAACATTTTGACATGAAAGATATGGGAGTTGCAGACGTCATATTAGGGATTAAAAATCTCTAAGATGCACAATAGATTGTCATTATCTCATAGTGTAATATAACTCTGATAACTTAAGAAGTTTAAGGCGTATGATGATAATCCTATTAAGACACTAGTTGACTTAGGAGTACATCTAGCCAAGAATACCAGTGGGCCATATCTTAATTGGAAGTATGCACACGTTATAGGAAGTTTGATGTATGTCAATAACTGCACGCGTTCGCATATGGCATACATAGTCAACAAATTGAGTAGATCCACAAGTAATCTGAACAATGTATATTGGACGGCGTTGAACCGAATTCTTAGATAACTAAGACATACGGTCAATTATGGATTACATTACTCAAGATATCTTGCGGTGTTAGAAGGATATACCGATGCAAATTGGATATCTAACACGGAGGATTCAAAGTCTACTAGTGGTTATATGTTTACAAATGGAGGCGAAGCTGTGTCTTGATAATTATCTACACAAATGTGTTTAGCTCGATCCACGATGGAATCTAAGTTTATTGCTTTAGATAAAGCCGAAAAAGAAGCAGAATGGCTTCGTAATTTCCTTGAAAAAATTTTGTGTTGGGAAAACCTGTACCAGCTGCTAACATACTTTGCAATAAATAATCGACAATTGCAAAGACACAGAATAGCATGTATAATGGTAACTCTCGATACATACGTCGGAGACATAATACCATTAAACGGTTGATATCGAATGGTATAATCTCTATTCAATATGTTAGGTCAAAAGAGAATTTGGCAGATCCTTTGACGAAAGGACTTATTGGAGATAAAATATACCATATTTCAAGGGGAAGGGGCCAAAAACCTATCGAATAAGAATCACTATGGCGGAAACCCAACCTTGTAGATTGGAGATTCTAAGATCTTGGTTCAATGGGACAACTAAGTCATAAACGATTCAGGGTAAAGCACTTATTCCCATTCCTAAAATGTAAAAGTGCTATGTTAAGCATGTATAAGGATAAGTTAAAAAAAATTTAATGATTCATGTACCTTGAAAGAAGAGAGATAGGAGATCACCTATGAAAGTGTGAACTAGGGCCACTTCTACAAGAATTTGAGGCTTAATTCTCCGAAAGCATTTATGAAACTAAGGGCTATTCAGGGCCAAAATGGACACAACCATGAGAACCAAAATGGTTAGATGAGTTATGGTGTTGATACAGTTGCCTGAATTTACACGAACGGCTGGATGGTTCAAGACATCACGTTCACCAACTAGCCTAGTAAATTCGACTGTATTCAACTAAGAAATGTTCAAAGCCACAAGCCACTTATCCTAATATTATAACTTGTCGAACGAACTCCGTTGTTAGGAGTCTACATTTATTTACATTTGTAGTGCACATTGCGGAATTTTCATTCATGTGGAGGATTGTTGGAAATTGATTTGAAAGATTGAAATTTGGTTAAGTGATAAAACCAAAACTTGAAAAAGTGACTTTCATGTCAACTTCGACCAAATATTATTTAGGATTTATTTGGAGTCCATTTCCTATCATTACTTTAGCCGAAATTTCTACAGAATTTTAAATGCAATTTGAAGAATTTTTCGACGTTGTTTGTCACTCCATACACGAAATTTTCCAACAAATCCATCCTAAACCCATTCTCTATAGGTCTCACTTTGAAGAATACCTTACGAAGACGCTCTTAGGTCATTCGAGAATAGTGACAATTGATGCACCCCATTCCAAGCATAATCTTGCACTATACACCCACTGCACAAAAATGCTCCAACTCTGACTCGAACTTGAAACCTCGAGCTCTAATATCAACTGATATAAAGATATCCAAAATCTATAGCTAATGGAGGTAATGCAATCCGCTCTATATCACCTTGAATCAGACCCGAGAATCTACCACAAGCCAACTTCGTTTGATCCTTACTTCGAATTACACCTTATAAAGGTGTTATTGAGTCATTCTCAAATCGCGAGAATAGGCCCAACACCCGCATTTTAAGGATACTGCTTCATGAATACACATAGCATTACTTTTTGCCAAAAAATAAATAAATAAATTGATGGAAGGATTATGAACGTAAGTTTTTTAAGTAGCTATATATATTTTTATATCACCAAGATTTTGTGATTCGTTGTCAAACTTATTCCAATTCCAAGAGTTGCCTAGAGAGGATAGCTTATATAAGAACAGAATTCAAAAGCAAAGGGTTTCCTAGGAAGGAGAAGGTGGTAGGTCGACAAGTTATAGGACTAATTAGAAGCGCAACACATATTCATTCTCGATTACTGTGTTTGTTGTGAGAGCTAATTAAACGGGAAGCCACTCAACCTTATTTTATGTTGTACAGAAGGGTGAGTGACAAATGAAGAAGTGGCATAATCAAGGCAAAATTCCAAGTAAAATTTTTAGTTAATTGAGGGATTTAGGGATTCTCATTGCAAGCAAGAAATCCTCTCTTTCTATGGCTTGGCGGGAAGTCAGACAAGGCTTAATGCCCTCTTGATTGCTGGTTGTACCTCATTCCCACTCTCTTCCCGTCTTCAACTTTAAGATGAGCTTCTTCTTGTTTTTAGGTTGATAAGATTGAATGCTCTACGAGAATAGTATTGTCTCGTAAAATTCATATTTTATTCTTCTATGATAAAGACATTTAGCACTCCTATTGAACAAACAAAATACAATGTTGCTAAACTTTTTCATCCTATAAAGGTTTAGGCCAGTTTGGCCTCTGTTTCAATTTTTAATTCAAATTTAGTTTTTTGTTTTCAGCGTCTATTTTAAGATTTCTAAAAACGCATTTGATTTGTCATTTTGAAAAATTATTCTTAAAACATTAAATTAGAAAGCACGTTTGTTTTGAAATTTGAAAAAATTGTTTTATGACATCTTAACAAAAAATACGGTGGCTTTGCCATAAAACCATAGCATAAACAGTTTCTTAGTTTGTGTTACTCTAAAAAATGGTAAATTGTGGAAAACATCGACTATATAGGAATTTGTCACATTTGCATTTCACACTAATTGTGTGTATAAGGATGATCAATTGTGGAAGAAAAAAAAATTGCTTATTGACTTTTTCACTTATTACTTTTCATTATCTTAAATTTTTGCAACATATTACGTAAGGTAGTCTCATTATATATATAAAATAAATTTAAAAAATCGATACCTTCTATATTAGTATATTTAAACTTTACTTACAAAAAAAAAAAAATCTAACATCAGTGGACATGTGATATGATTATAAGTGCATGTTTATCACTAAATAATTTTAAGCCCCGAGCTTCATTAAAATCAAAATTTGGGAAATTTTTTATTTTTGGAGTAGTGATTTCTTGAATAATATATAGTTAAAAATAAGAAAAGTTTTTGGATATTCACGTAATATTATTTTATTGAAAAAATGTGTAATTAAAAAAAAGAGAGAAAAATGCATTAAATTTAAATGGAGCTCAAACAGGGGCTAAATGATATAATAGTTTATATTTTTTTAAACAATACCATCAAACCTTATCCAATCATGCAATAATTGTTGAAAAGAATTTGATTTGATTCATTTAAACTCTTTTGATACAACCAATAAAGTAAAAATAAATAAATACAATTGGCTAAATTTAATAATGCCAACATTTTATTTATTTATTTTTTTGTCACCTGGCTAAAATTTAAAAGAGATTACTGGGTTTTTTTTTAATACAAAAAAGGATAAAAAAGTTTAGAATATTGCCACCATCTAATCTTGCCACATCATCACCGGATCACAACTACTAATGTGGCACGATCTCAATGGTTCATCACTTATTCAAATTTCAAAATTGTAGATCTCTACTTCTTCAAAAAAATATTTATACTCTTTGTATATATTTAATACACACGTTTAAAATCGATCATTTGAGAAATCACTTGTTTAAAAATACTACTTCACACAAGACAGTATAATAAATAAACTTTCAATTATTTATGTAATACTGTCCAGTCTGTGTAATTATTTCTTTACTAATAAACCAGTAAAAAAATAAAAAAGCGTTGCCAATTTCATAATCTAACCTTAGGCCCTGTTTGTTTCTGATTCTCAAATCAATTCTCAAATCAATTCTCATTTTCAACCACACATTCTTCAATAAAATAATATTTTCCATCACATCAATACTTTTTTTCTTCTTATACTTCACACAAGACAGTATAATAAATAAACTTTCAATTATTTATGTAATACTGTCCAGTCTGTGTAATTATTTCTTTACTAATAAACCAGTAAAAAAATAAAAAAGCGTTGCCAATTTCATAATCTAACCTTAGAGAGAGAGAGAGAGAGAGAGAGTAAAATCAAGAAAGTGCCTTTCGAAAACATTTCAACTTCAATTTCAAGACATCAAAAAAAAAAAAAAGAAAATACCCAAACACAAAAATCACTTCCTAAAACCAATTTTTTTTTTTTTTTTCAAAATTGAAATACTAAACGAGACCAGACCCATTTCAGCACCTTTCAGATCTTTCCAATTCTTCGTTGATTTGATGACGTTTTAGTCTTCGTTTCCACATTTTTTTCCTGGTAAGTCTTGAATTCATTTTTCATCGTTGTAATGAGCACATTTTGGAAATGTATTCATTAATGTGGATGTAATGTGTGTTGCCGTGAAGTGAAAGTATGTTTCATGATTTTTTTTTTTTATCAATCTTGAAGTAAAGATTGGATCTTTGGGTGTAAATTTTAAGATCTAATTTTTAATGTCTTCTGTCATTTTTATTCTTATTCTTATTCTTATTATTTTGGCTGATACTGTTATGTTCTACTATTTGTTGGCGGTTTTATCTGAAGTAATTGGTTAATTGCATGCTTAGATGTGGAGTGAACATTACTAAGAAAGAGAGAGAAGTGGGAAGGTGATAGGAGCTAAAGAATTAACTGTTATGAATAGCACAAACAACAAATAATTTTGGTTTTATATGAGGAACCAATACCTTCCAGATTCTCTCAAGAGATTTGTTAAATTTGTTCATGCTTTATTATCAAACAACTCCAATACTTAAATAGAGCTAGGCACAACGTTTACATCCAATAAAGTAGGAAATTGATAACAAACTAAACGACTAACTTATTCAATCTGAAGAAGATCTGAAAATATCATCACAGATACTCCACGACTGCCTTGACTTGAAGTCGTATCAGATCCCTCCTCCTTAAGCAACACCCTTGTCCTCAAGGGTGCATTCCACAAAAACGTTCTTGGATAATTTGGCGATCCTCTCAAGTTGCTTCTGGTGGTGATAGTCCTTGCCTTATAACTAGCACCTCAGATTTTCCCTTCCTGACTCTAGAGTTAATTACTGATTGAGGGCGGTGTTTGAAAATTTCTCATACTGATGATATATCTTTAAAATCTGTTTGCTGCTCCCCAACCTTCCTTTTGAGCACTGAAATATGAAATACTGGATGTAAACGGGAAGAGGAAGGTAAGTTTATACGCCACCTTCCCAAAGTTTTCTAACAATTCGAACTGCCCATAATAACGAGGAGATAATTTGAAACTCGTTCAAGATGCAAGGGATGCTTGCTTGTATGGTTGAAGCTTCAAGAATACCCAATCACCTACTGCAAAGTCTTGCTCTTTATGCTTAGCATTGTAAATTTTCTTCATGCGTATCATGGCGTACATCTTTAAGAACTTGATCTCTTTCCAATAATTCTCGTTCCACATGTTCCACTCGAGCAGTTCCAGGAATGTAATGCAATAGTTTAGGAGGTTCTCGACTGTACATTACCTCAAACGGAGTCCTTGTCAGAGAAGTGTGCTAGCTAGTATTATAACAATATTCTGCCCATAGAAGCCATTTCATCCATTCTTTGGGTCTTGAGCTTGTAGAACACCTTAAATGCATTTCTATTGTTCTGTTAACTTCACATTGGCGATCGGTTTGTGGGTGATAACTGGAGCTAAAATTGAAAGATGTCCATTTAAATGAAACAATTCTCTCCAAAATGAGCTGGTGAATGTAGGATCATGATCACAAGCAATAGATTTGGGCGAGCCATGCAACTTAAAAATATTCTCAAAAAATAATTTAGCTACTCCCATAGCGGTTTACGGATGGGATAGAGGAATAAAATGGGAGTATTTCGAAAGTCTATCAACCACTACAAAAATAGTTGACTTACCATTTGACATAGGTAAACCGTCAACAAAATCCATAGAAATATCTTCCCAAATTTGTTGGGGAATGGAAAGTGGTTGCAATAATCCTGCTGACTTAGTTTGATAGTTTTGTTGGAAAACATCACATTCATGAATGAATCCCTTAATTTAATTCTGCATCTCTTTCCAATAAAAATTAGCTTTAATCCTCTGAAAACTTTTTACATACCCTTCATATGCATTACCATGAAATTCTTGAATGATTCACATGTAAGTCTAGAAGAGACATGAAGGAAAATACAAATCAACCCGTCCACTACCTTCCATAGGCCTAGGGCTTCATTTTGGTGAATACGGTCCATAAGCTCTTTCATTGAAGCATTTGCTTGAAGTTCATCCTTAATGCATCCACCAAATGGGGGACCAATTGCGAAAATGCAAGAAGTGACCCAATTGGCAACTTAGCTTCATGACACCGTGATAAAGCATCAGCAACAATATTTTCCCTCCCTCTTTTGTACTGCACACTAAAATCAAAACCTATCAGCTTGTACAACCATCTTTGCTGAGCTGAAGTGGTAATTTTTTGAGTCTGGGGATGCCTCAAACTTTGATGATTAGTATGCATAATAAAATTCCTCCCCAAAAGATATGGTCTCCATTTTTGCACTGCCAAAACAAGAGCAAGGATTTCCTTATCATAGGTAGAGAGAAGGAGATGTTTCCTATGTAGAACTTGACTATAATAATCAATTGGCTGTTCCTGAAGTAAAACTGCACCCACACCAAAACTTGAAGCATCACATTTAATTACGAAAGGTTTAGAAAAATCAGGACGAGATGGCATTGGAGCTTGAGTCATGGCGATTTTCAATTTCCCAAATGCATCTTCTGATGAAGCTGTCCACCTAAAAGAATCCTTTTTGAGCATGTTGGTGAGAGGTGTTGCAATTTTTCCATAATTTTGGATGAACTTTCTATAATAC